TTAACTTTCTGACAACATTACTGGGGATGTTAACTTTCTGACAACATTACTGGGCATGTTAACTTTCTGACAATGTTACTGGGGATGTTAACTTTCTGACAACATTACTGGGGATTTTAACTTTCTGACAACATTACTGGGGATGTTAACTTTCTGACAACATTACTCGACATAACTGCTGTTACATCAATTTCTTATATATCCTAATCAGTTAAGGGAACAAATGGATCACAATGACCAGTACCACATTCAGCGAGACCAGGCTAGTTCTCCACATTATCTCAGTAGGTAGGATGATTGAAGAAGAATGTTCAAATCCTTTTATTCAGGGCCAACATGTATTTCACTTGTGCATGTGTTTAGATACCAGCTGTTACCCTAGTGTCGGGGAGTGCTGCAAGATTCCACTGTCATCCTGTAACAGATATCAATTTAAGGTGTTTTTCCTTTTCTTTTTGCAAGAAATGTAATGAGTGATAAATGTTGAAGATACAATTTGTTTCCGTTAGGGACATGTTGATGCCACATACTGTAGGTAAGGATGTTGTAGCACATGTACCACGTTCCAAATATTGGTACACACTCACAACGAAATGCCTCTTTAAAGTCTTAAATTTATTGAAGGATGCCATTGGTTTTAGATTTGTTACTTTTGTTTTTGAAAGCTTAGATCTACAAAGGTTCAATGTTAATACAAAACTCACCAGATCTATGATAGATGTATGACATTAGAAAAATGTACTTTCAAATATACACACATTAGTGCTGTAAATAGAAGTTTGTTGAGATTTTACTGGTTTTAATGTTTGCAGATTTGTGAGAGTGAACCAACAATTTAAAAATTGATATTCCCTTTTTGTGGGGAAGTCGTGGGTGGAATTTATGGTCTTATGGTTTGTTAGTAAATTGTAAATATATATTATATCAAAACTGGAAAGTCCTCGGTTCAATCATTTATCATATTTATTAAAATCATTATTTGGTAAAACAATTACACTAAATATTGTTCCTTTAATTTTCCCACCCTCTTCCGTTGAAGCAGGAATCAATAAAAATACAATTTCTTCAGAGATGATGTGTTCTTTTTTATTTGTTACCTTTTAATCATAAAAAACATTTTAACTGACATTTCTAACGGTCACCTGAGTTATATCATAGGTACTGGTAGCTTTATTTTATTGTTTAGATGTGATGTGGAAATCAGCATGTAAACTAAGTGAAATACAATGCTTGTCATGTCATCAAAGGATACTAATTTTAAAATATAGGTAAATGTTCCCTTTGGGGCCCCGCCCTAGCCCCTGGGGAGGGGGCAGGAATCCCAATTTTACAATGTAATACCCTCATTCACCAAAGATGATTCTGACCAAGTTTGAATAATTTTCTGCTGAAAATGGATAAAATATACCCAAAAAGGTTGTTTCCCTATATAAACTAGAGTAAACTTTACCCCCTCCCCAAGGGAGAACGGAAAGCTCAGGGGTCCTGAAATTCACAATTTAAATAAAGCCCCTGATGATCTTTCCATCCAAGCAGAGAAAATGACTGTCGTACCTCTGAGTCTGGAGAAGAAGATTTTTGAAATATTGGTTAATTTATCCTTTGGGGCCCGCCCTGGCCCCTGGGGTTGGGGTAGGAATCCCAATTTTTACAATTTTGTAGCCTAATCTACCAAGGATGATTCTGACCAAGTTTGAAAAAATTCCATCCACTGGTTCTTGAGAAGGAGTTGAAAATGTAAAAGTTTATGCAGAACGGACGACGGACACCGACGGATGGAAAGTGATCGGAATATGTCACTTGAGCAAAGCTCAGGTGACCTAAAAAAACATATATTAGGGCAAAACAACCTTGGGTGAACTGGATTCTTGCTATACGATTGGTGGTGCGAACAGGATTTAGTGCGAAACAACATAATTATTATTTTATTGGAAGCATCCTCGAGTTGTGATAATCCCACAATGTACAAATGTTGGGACCAACCCCCTGGAGAGCTAAGGGCTGTGACTACCGTAATAAGGGGTAATAAACTAAGAAGTGATGGAGATCCCCCAGACTTTCAATATATTCATGCAGAACCTGCTTGCTCGACATGAGCTGAATCATAAGATTAGCGGGAGAGTCCCGCATGAACCGAGTCGCTTGGTCATAACTGGGAAACATTAAAGATTCCCACTACATTAACAGTTGAAAACAATCAACAATAGCTCAATCTTGCTATGTACCAGGGTTAGCCCTTCGATCTAACCCTGCTTTTGGAGATCCATTTGTAATACTTTTGATGAGAATATTTTGGTATAATTGCCTATCCATACTATTCTGCTCAGTGATACAGGCCCTCTGCCTCTTGTCCTAAATGTATATGGTCCTGAATTTTATTTGTGAAAGGTGCCAGTTGCTTTCTTTAACGTCAGTTATTGATTACATGGACCATGCACTGCTAAAACCGAAAGTAACACCCCACCATATAGCAACATTCGCAATAAAAAACTCGACCAATGAAAACATAGTGCTGTCGCAGACACAGACAGAAAAGCATGAAATCACAGACAGGTAAACTGACAACACAACAGAGGTCGGGTGACACCAGTGCACCCTGGCCTCCATGTAGTACAGTAACTACACTACATGACCCCTGTCTGCCACATAGAACACAGACTATATACAGCAAGAATCGCCCCCGCTACACTAGCAAGACCGCTTTAAATGTTTGTCAATGAGCATTGACAAATGTGAAATTGTATACAGCACAGGAATTTTGTTGCTGGCTGTAATTTTGCAAAAATGTCATTTACAATAACTATGTTCAAAATATTTATATCTCGATATGTTAACAATAGTATTAACAAATAACAAGAGGCCTAGATGACCTGTATTGCTCACCTGGATTTGTTTATAGCACACCATGGTAGGTACTGTATGTACATATGAACAAACTTCTAATGTCAAAATCAAAGATGGCGGCCTGGTTGCCATCTTGTTTTAATGAATACACCCTAATAGTAACAGGCACTACTAGACAAAATTTTGGGATAACATCCTGTAATCCCTATGGTAGAAGGATTTCAAAGGTTCTGCCTCTATTTCCCCGATTGGGCTCTGCCCTGAGGGCCACACCCACCATTTATACAAAATTGAGTGTCCTTGGCCTAAGGATGCTCCAGGCCAAATTGGGATGAAATCTCTTAATCCCTATGGTAGAAGAAGGACTTCGGGCAGGTGAGCTAATTAACAACAACAACCAAGCCTAAAATGGAGTGACTTTCAACATTAAACAGTTACATGGGACAAGATCCCATAAAAAAGCATTAGAAAGAGGAGAGAAATGCGCTAGAACCTTATGTCTGTGTTAAAATAATTATTTCTCAAACTGATGAGAATGAAACATGTTCAATCCAAGACAATACAATCCACACAAGAGTGTTGAAAATCAGGTTGTAGAGAAACGATGAACATTTTATATTGATTTCATTGTTTTTATTTTGTTTTTACTTGTACATAATATAAATGGTAAAACAATTTTTGGCATGCATTTTAAACATAAAATGAACAACTTAAAATGGTTAGCTGTCTATAAAATTACCAAATATATATACAGGAACGGACAGCTTCACCTAAATACTGAGTCATATTCCCTACCAACCAAATTGCCAGATTTTTCATAATTTAACCGGTTCACAATATACAACCAACAACAACATAAACTGGCATATGTGAATTGATACATTTAAAAATTTCAATTCATAATTTTTTCTAAAACTGTAACATATATTTCAGTATAAATTGCTTAGAAGCATAACAATTCAATTTGAAAGTGTTTTTCACCTTCACATTAATGAATTTGAAAAGTTTGAAAATATTTGCTAGAAGAAACAAGAATTATTAGTACATGTATCACATCTTTCATTACCAACACCTAACCTTTTGTGAGATTTTGCTATTTTGTGTTTTCGTTTTTTGCTAAAACAAAAACCCTATGGTGTTGCTTCTGGTAATATCTGAAAATAATAAGTTTTGGAAAATATATGTCAATTGAACATTTCGAAACAATGGTAAAAATAGGTATAATGCTAGTACTTGCCACAGAACTGATATGAATTACAGGCCTACCTATTATTAATTGGACAAAATAAATAATGATATATTGGATAGGAACTTGTATGAGATATTAGTCCCCAATGTAAAGCTGTGTTTTACCTCGAACACTTACACTGGCCTTAGATAACAACCCTTGAACACAATGCATTAGCAATGAGTATTCATCATCTTACCAATAAAACGTAATATTTACAGGTCTAGTTCCTCAGTCATAATCTACCCTAATAAAATGTAATCTTATGATCTACACATTGTTCATATATAAATGAAGCAAGAAGTGGGAGTATGGCTGAAATAGTTCCATTGGTCTGATACTGTCCACATTGACAATGGACAAGGTGTATGACCTCTGACGTGACCAGGACCTCTGACGTGACCAGGTGTATATCAATGTGGACAAATCAAAGTCTTCCTACGGGCGAAAGCGACTACACAGACCGCACTGCCCACACCGTTGAGTGGTCAGTGGAAACAAATACAAATTACCTGGTAAGTAGTATCAGATTTTAATTTTACACACCAATCTATGTAAATACATACACTGCTTTCTTTGAATCCAGTACATGTACCAGCAACGCATTGTCAGTTTAGGGTGTTAAAGCCGAGTTAAAACAACTGCATTTCACTGGTAGCCACCGTAGCTGTGACTTGATACTAAAGTCAATGAATAAGGTAGCAGAAAAGAATTGACCATGAAACATTGTACCAGATAACTGAATAACTGTTGCATATTTGTAGTCTTTTAAGCCTTTTAAAATTATTGAAGATGGCAAATGGCAGAAGTATGCTACAGCCAAAACAGCTGATAACCCACTCAGCTAATGGAGATTCAATCGGTGGATAGAAGGTGCTGTTCAAAGACAACAAAATGAGCATATCAGTAAATGTCATAACTTCCCATTGATAAAATGATCTTACTCAGTGGCCATCAACACAAAGTATATCTTTACTTACAGGTTATTTTACATACGGCATCTTTGGTAGAACTTTCAACAATGCAATCTGTAATCAATAGTTACAGAAATTTACAGGTCATGCATACAATCATCACTAAATCACAGGACAGACACAACTCGCACCGCACAAATAATTACTACCTAGTAAAGAACCTTAGAACAGGCCATTCTTATATAAATAACTTCCTGGTGAAGTAACCCAGGACAGGCAATTCTTATATAAATAGCTTCCTGGTGAAGTAACCCAGGACAGGCAATTCTTATATAAATAACTTACTGGTGAAGTAACCCAGGACAGGCAATTCTTATATAAATAACTATCTGGTGAAGTAACCTAGAACAGGCAATTCTTATATAAATAACTACCTTGTGAAGTAACCCAGAACAGGCCATTCTTATATAAATAACTACATGGTGAAGTAACCCAGAACAGACAATTCTTATATAAATAACTATCTGGTGAAGTAACCTAGAACAGGCAATTCTTATATAAATAGCTTCCTGGTGAAGTAACCCAGATCAGGCCATTCTTATATAATTAACTTCCTGGAGAAGTAACCCAGGACAGGCAATTCTTATATAAATAGCTTCCTGGTGAAGTAACCCAGAACAGGCAATTCTTATATAAATAGCACTAATAGCCATTCACATACAAATATTTAAATTAACATATGTATCATATTAAATTGTCATTATTGATTAATATATTGGCTGGAACACATTTTTTATTCCTCATGTCAAATTCTATTACCATACACTAGAATCTGAATGAAAATATAACCGAAGAGACATACGCTCTGTTTCAAGGTTAGTAGCCATACACTATGACACATTTAAATATCACAACCAGTGGTGATCATGTGATATGTCACTTGATGGATACAATACAAAAATAAACAACTTTATGGGTCAAAATACAGTACACGTGATGCAACAAAACCCTAGCTAACCTTGGCAGATGAAACTTGACCTCATTATATCCTTATCCTCCCCTACAAAGACAAACGATCGACTTACCCAGTACTTACTGTTATACACCATATCACACTATTTTCCCTACCCAAAAGATACCCCCATCATAAAGCCCCTTGGCCAATACCTGCCCCTGTATTACATCCACTCCCCTACCAATGCATGTCCCTGTATTACACCTCCAACTCACATACCAACACATGCCCCTGTATTACACCTCCAACTCACATACCAATACATGCCCTGTATTACACCTTCCAATCCCCTGAAAAATCCCCACCTACAACCATTACACTATTCAATAAATATATTCCCTACACATAGACTTTGTATACATAGTATGCCCCAATATGTATAGGACTATGTGATTCTGTGTATCAACATTATTACTCATTACTTCATCAATGTAACATACTAGTATACACAATAAGGTGTAAAAAAAACACCTTGAAAGTTCAGGTATATGTTAGTATTTTGTCCTAAGAGAACAATATATTGACACCCTACTAATGGACAGGTCAAGGATATAATAATAAACATCCAACTTAATCTATGAATATATATGTTTAACTAAAAGAAAACAACAAAAAAATACTTGCTTACCAAACAACAAAATCTCTTATTTTTTATTCAACATAAATAACCCCGAAATGTAACACTCTCTCAAGTAACTCTGAATGTAACACTCTCACAAGAAACTCTGAATGTAACTCTCACGGTTAACTCTGAAAAGTAACATTCTCACAAGTAACTCTGAATGTAACTCTCACGGTTAACTCTGAAAAGTAACATTCTCACAAGTAACTCTGAATGTAACATTCTCACAAGTTACTCTGAAAAGTGACATTCTCACAAGTAACTCTGAATGTAACACTCACGGTTAACTCTGAAAAGTAACATTCTCACAAGTAACGCTGAATGTAACATTCTCACAAGTAACTCTGAAAAGTGACATTCTCACAAGTAACTCTGAATGTAACTCTCACGGTTAACTCTGAAAAGTAACATTCTCACAAGTAACTCTGAGTGTAACTCTCACGGTTAACTCTGAAAAGTAACATTCTCCCAAGTAACGCTGAATGTAACTCTCACGGTTACCTCTGAAAAGTAACATTCTCACAAGTAACTCTGAATGTAACACTCTCAAAAGTATCTCTGAATGTATCACTCTCACAAGTAAATCAAACGTTAACACGCATAGCTCACAAGCAAATCAAATTGTGGCATGCTCACAAGTTTATTCTAAACATCACAAGATAAGCAGTTTATGACATGAGTTATCTCCCCTTGACCTAACACCTGTCCATAAAAGAATATTTATATCTACATAGTAGACAAATGAGCAGTAAAAGCATTTTGCTTCCTCAGGTTTATGTCAAATTGTAATCACCTTATACTGAAACATTTAATTTTTCAAAAAAAAGGCCTGCTTACTATTTAAGTAGGAACTTCAAGCAATTAACATTGAAGACAAAACATCATATATAAAACATCAAGTATAGTTCACAAGGAGAACTCCAGGTCAACAAATACATCAATTATACACTGATATCTACAATTAAAAACTATGATGTAATATCTCCTGAGTGTAATAGAAGAGCCTGAAGTTCAACAACATACTAAATTTAGCAATGGCTTCATCCAGACTTCTCCACAATTCTTAAGTGAATATAAAATCATTGACACCGTCTCAGTGAAGGGCTAAACAAGTGACTGAATTAACTGTGACAGCTGTGACAGCTGTGACAGCAATGATAGTCTGGTTCTTTACCAGATAGTCAATGCTTTATTACCTAATGACCTATTAACTCAATTTTTCAAAATACCTTTTCTTTGCCTCTTTTATATTTCAATATCTATATGGTATTACAGGGTTTTGGTATTTTACAGCTACTTAGAAGTTAACATGTACTATATGGTAAATCATAAAAACTACCAAGGGTTTGGTATTCTACAGCTACTTAGAAGTTAAAATGTACTATATGGTAAATCATAAAAACTACCAAGGGTTTGGTATTCAACAGCTACTACATGGAGTTTGGAAATCACAAACTACTACCAAGGGTTTGGTATTCCCCACTTTTTGTAAGGGGTTTGGTATTGTATAGCTACTACCAAGGGTTTGGTATTCCCCACTCTTTATAAGGGGTTTGGTATTGTATAGCTACTACCAAGGGTTTTGTATTCCCCACTCTATGTAAGGGGTTTGATATTCCCCACTCTTTGTAAGGGGTTTGGTATTGTATAGCTACTCCCAAGGATTTGGTATTTAACAGCTACTACAGGGGTTCAGTATTCACAGCTTTTGTCAGGGTAAGTAATTAACAGCTACTACGTACAGTGGTTCAGTATTCACAGCTTTTGTCAGGGAAAGTAATTCACAGCTACTACAGTGGTTCAGTATTCACACCTTTTGTCAGGGTAAGTAATTCACAGCTACTACCGTGGTTCAGTATTCACAGTTTTTGTCAGGGTAAGTAATTAACAGCTACTACAGGGGGTCAGTATTCACAGCTTTTGTCAGGGTAAGTATTTAACAGCTACTACAGGGGTTCAGTATTCACAGCTTTTGTCAGGGAAAGCAATTAACAGCTACTACAGTGGTTCAGTATTCACAGTTTGTCAGGGGAAGTAATTCACAGCTACTACAGTGGTTCAGCATTCACAGTTTTTGTCAGGGTAAGTAATTAACAGCTACTACAGTGGTTCAGTATTCACAGTTTGTCAGGGGAAGTAATTCACAGCTACTACAGTGGTTCAGCATTCACAGTTTTTGTCAGGGTAAGTAATTAACAGCTACTACAGTGGTTCAGTATTCACAGCTTTTGTCAGGGAAAGCAATTAACAGCTACTACAGTGGTTCAGTATTCACAGTTTGGCAGGGGAAGTAATTCACAGCTACTACAGTGGTTCAGCATTCACAGTTTTTGTCAGGGTAAGTAATTAACAGCTACTACGTACAGTGGTTCAGTATTCACAGCTTTTGTCAGGGAAAGTAATTCACAGCTACTACAGGGGTTCAGTATTGACAGCTTTTGTCAGGGTATGTAATTCACAGCTACTACAGTGGTTCAGTATTCACAGTTTGGCAGGGGAAGTAATTCACAGCTACTACAGTGGTTCAGCATTCACAGTTTTTGTCAGGGTAAGTAATTAACAGCTACTACGTACAGTGGTTCAGTATTCACAGCTTTTGTCAGGGAAAGTAATTCACAGCTACTACAGTGGTTCAGTATTCACACTTTTTGTCAGGGTAAGTAATTCACAGCTACCACAGGGGTTCAGTATTCACAGCTTTTGTCAGGGAAAGTAATTCACAGCTACTACAGTGGTTCAGTATTCACACTTTTTGTCAGGGTAAGTAATTCACAGCTACCACAGGGGTTCAGTATTCACAGCTTTTGTCAGGGTATGTAATTCACAGCTACTACAGGGGTTTGGCAATCCATACATGGGGTTTGGTAATCCATAACTACATGTACTACCAAGGGTTTGGTATACATATTTCACAGTTACTACCCAGAGTTTGGCTTTCTACTTAGGTTTGGAGACAGAAATGTCAATGAATAATATGTATTGGCAATTCATCTCGACTCTTTTATCATCTAATATAACTTTCTTACAAATCCATTTTGACAGATTAGTTATCAAAAAAGTACAAAATAATGACAAACATTGAGCCATCATGTAAACCTGAACACCGGATCTGGATATACTGTAAAACAGGATAGCCAACACAGCTCAACAGTACAGAAATCTAGTCAGATTGTCTGGGGAGTACACAAAACTACAGGTTAAAAGTATATATATATATATATATATATATACACGTATAACGAAACTGTTATGTACACAGAGCAGGTTCATATTCATTGTTAAAGGTCAAAACAATTCAAATTAACAAAAGCATTTTACCCGTATTACATTAAAGTAAAGGTGTTTTTATTGATTGCCCCTTGCTGTACTGTACAATAACCAAGCAAGGGTACACAATAATTTTGTTTAAATGCAGCAATTGCAAATAACCCAGCACCAAAGCAACTTAATAATGTGAGACATGATTTGCTTACAATAACAGCTATTCACCAATCTAAGGTCTTTACAAAAGGGTGCCTACATATGCACGGGTACCAGCCCATTCTGCATACACATTGAACATCAGATTACCAAAAACATACTTTAATGAAACAAATGTTTATTTGATATAATTAGTATCCTATCACAGTGATTAACATAATGAAATTTAAGATTCAAAACAAGCTGAATAATATGTTTCATGGTACCATAGGAGTGAAATTTACGTAGAGATATGTCAAGTATGATCTAACTAATGTCATGTAAGCCTGGATATTACTTCCATTTCTAGTGAGGAGAGTTTTTAAGCAGTCAGAATCAAAGAAATGGTCAAATTCACAAAAACACATAGTATAACAACGAATGTTGTTAGTAAATACGGCACCACATTTCATATGAGGACCTACCCAACCTTTACACAGGATGGTTGTATGAGTTTGAGCATTACAACAGGTTGCTGAGACGTCAATTGGCTGTGATACTATTAATGCCTTGTTAGTCAGTGACTCAGTTCCTCCTCTAACCAATCTGGTATGCGGTACTGATTTTTCTTGAGAAACTTTGATAAAGCAACATTGTGTTTCCTATAGAACTGTCTCAGGTAATCTGTGACCTCCTTGCTCATGTTCGGGTAGAGTCGTCCTTTTCCTCTGCCCAAACACTTGTTTTTGTCTTCTGAGAGAATCTGACAGTAGAACCCTTTCTTTGGATCAAACCTGAGGAACACAAGGACAAATATTTAATCTTTGTGAGTATGAATTACTCTGTTACAATGGGCACTTTTACCACCTTCACATGTAACATAACAAACTTGTACGTTATATTTTGACAGAGCACAGAAGTTTAAGAAAAACAAAGGTATGAGTGTTGGTATCTCGGAAAAAATAAATGTTCACCATCAATAAATGGTAACTCGAGAAGGAAGTGAACGTTTACGGATCATACCTTATTAGCTGACTGTAGTTATAATGAGGCTCGATGTGTAGAAATCTTTGGACGTTGTGCATGACAGCGACAGGGTGACTCTTCAGCCATTCACCATCAATGATGAACAACTGAAAACATAAAAAGGAATTCATTAAGTATCCTCAGCAATGTTCGAATTCATCCAGATTAAACACCAAACTATTAGACAACTATAGTAAAAGAACCTTCCTCTGGGGTGAGATAAAGATCAGGTCATTCAAACCTGATGAACGAAATGTCAAAGACATCCTAAGCATCGCTGACATAACAACCTGTATATTAAAGACATATCTGTAAATAACACAAAACTATCTAACAATCTGTACAAAACAGACCTTAAACTAGGACTATTCCTCAATACTGTACCACCTGTGTGTCCCAAACACCAGCCTAATGATAATCAAAGTTGGTTTCTAGACTATTAGATTTACATTGCTATCATTGTATGATTTTTATGTTACCAAGGATTGTATATTGAATTGATTAGTATGGGATTAATGTATACTATGAATTGTACATGGGTTGAACATAACTAGATTAAATCATTTATACCTGCAATTGTACAGGGTATAAACAATCTGGGTTTTTTTGGGTTTTTTTACATGGAATGGTATATTGTGTATGGATTGAACAGTACAGGATTAATTAATTTATAGGAGAAATTTCTAAAGAAAATTAATATGTAATCTCTGTCCAATTTTCAAATGCCAGTTCTTATCATTCTGGATATTGTTTTACCTCTGAATGATAAAAATCACAAATTATATACACTCCATCATTTCCGTTATCTCCTGTCTAGTTATAATCTCACTACCCAGATCACGTTGTTTTCTGTAGAACTCACTTGACGAGCTGGAAAATAGTCCAACCATCGGGACAAGTGTTGGACATAGATGCCAGGAGCGAGACATCGGTTTTTGAGGTCTCGGAGTTTGCGAGGGGCTGAATCATCAGCAGTGACAACCTCCAGGAAAGTGTAGTTTAGTGCTATAGGGTCATTATGGGCACGTATATGCTGAAATGTAAAATATTGTATTATATATGACACATTTACAATATGTAGTATTTCTATTAAATAAAGTTCAGTTGTCATATCATATTTTAACATTTAATAGGGCATCAATTTCATATTCCTTGACTCAATTTTAAATCAGCATGAATACTTAGCTTTCACAATAAATATAAATCTCTGAAAAAAATGACCATTTCTCAACATCAAAAACTTCATCAATAAGCTTAGTTTTGTTACTTTCAAAAACCAATCCTTTAACTGATACTAGTAGATAAAAGGTTCCTGTCTACATAACAGGCTGATGTCAATCACATTCCATAGACAACACAACCTACCTGGTACCATGAGTAAGCCCGTTTGGCTGGGTGGATCAATATGCAGATGAGTTTGGCTTTTGGAATCAGACCATGTGCCCTCATTGGTACAAGTTCATTGTCAAAATATGTAGCACTCTTTTCAAATAGGAAATCTGATGTGGCATTTGGTGGGATAGGAAAGAACTCCATATACCTAGAACATTTAAATACATGTCTCATTTTCAAGTTATAGATAGGAAAATGTATGGGTTTTTATTCCGCGACATGCCCACTTCAGAGTTGCAAGGTCTCAATTTATAAATTGTTACACCATGCTTACCTTAAAATATAATAGCAAAATTGATTTGAATATTCTTGGATATCTTGTTTTACAAAAAAAACTTTTAAGTATGTCTTGGTGTTTTTGAGAAGCACCTGTTCCAAAAGTCTGAAGAAAGTCTAAATCCATGTACATTACACTTACCAGTCAATTCCCTTATAATAGTTGTTGCCATTAAAAAATTGCACCTCCTCGAATGTATCTGGACTGTTGTAGTTACTGAGGATGGCTGGGTGGAGGGACAGGAATGTATAGAGAGCTGTCGTCCCTGTGTATAACAACAGGAGATAAGCCATATAAGTAGTTTAAATTAAGTAGGAAATCTGGTTTGATTTCTCATGTACAAAGTTGATTGGTGAAACATAATTACATTTCATGCCCATCATTGTAACTATGAATGAATATAATATTTGCACTTTTGCGTTAACTAGAATATTGCTATTGTATTGTTTATACTGCTTTTCCTTTTTTTTTAATACATTGAATGCTTCATGTGATGACAAATCTTGCATCAGTTCTAATATATACTATACCTGTCTTTTGGGGACCAATGACGAGGAATTTTGGTAGTCTGTCACAGCTCTTGTTGGTGGACCATATAGCTAGGTGACGCTTGTATAAACATGGATTCTGAAAGATATGAAATGTTGCACGATAAGTTACAGTACAAAGTAGTTACAAATTTAATGGGTGCTAAATTTTCACTTTTCAATATTTAATCAAAATCAACAAATTTTAACACTAGCAAAAGAGCCAGCTAACTAAGTACTGTTTCTGGATACATAACCTGTAAGGAAGACACAACAAAATGTAACTGATGTGAGTACATTGTGAATGTCACCAGCTTATAATTTGGTGTAATGATGGCTGACTGTAAATATGATGAAGGGATGATTCAAGAACTTTAATATTTTTTCTGCTGTATCATCGATCAGATCACAATACCCTTTTCTAAATATGTTTGAATTTCGCTGAGCATCAATCTCGAGTGAGTTATTTTGGTAGAAAGGATACCAGTGATTTTTATTATAAATCTGGAATCAAATATTTCATGAAAATCAAAGCATTTCTTCAGGAGTTTTTGGACAGAAATCACTTTCTGATCCCAGTTTTATGAAAATTAAAACATCTCTTGAAGAATTATCACAACGAAACCTTTTACGTGAGGGCGAAAAACACCGCCAACAGAGTAATCTCTATACGTCACATTCAAATCATAGGCGACACCACAAAATCAGAAATAACAGTTCAATAAAATATAAACAATATACAGTCGTAGTAAACATTGATCCAATGTATACTGATGTGAGTATACCTGCCACAGGGGATCCCTCTCCTCTGGGTACATCTCAAAATACTTAATGCCAAGCTCTAAAGGGGGCACCTGCTTCAGCTGCAGATTGGTCCAGCACTGCACAAACTTGATCACACTCTCAAACGTGTAGAGCGCCAGCCTATCATTGGCATAATTCCCCATATGGGTCATGTAGATGTTTATCTGAAAATAAAAATAAACTTGAGTAATAACTAATGGTCGCCATATGCACTACCGAAACCTTATATACCTCTAACAAGGGGATACCAAGCTGATGTTACACACACAAGGGGACACCAAACTGATGTTACACACACAAGGGGATACCAAACTGATGTTACACACACAAGGTGATACCAAACTGATGTTACACACACAAGAGGATAACAAACTGATGTTACACACACAAGGGGATACCAAGCTGATGTTACACACACAAAGGGATACCAAACTGATGTTACACACCCAAGGGGATACCAAACTGATGTTACACACACAAGAGGATACCAATCTGATGTTAAACACACAAGGGGATACCAAACTGATGTTACACACACAAGAGTATACCAAACTGATGTTACACACACAAGGGGATAACAAACTGATGTTACACACACAAGGGGATACCAAGCTGATGTTACACACACAAAGGGATACCAAACTGATGTTACACACACAAGGGGACACCAAACTGGTGTTACACACACAAGGGGATACCAAACTGATGTAACACACACAAGAGGATAACAAACTGATGTTACACACACAAGGGGATACCAAAATGATGTTACACACACAAGGGGATACCAAACTGATGATACACACACAAGGGGATACCAAACTGATGTTACACACACAAGAGTATACCAAACTGATGTTACACACACAAGGGGATACCAAGCTGATGTTACACACACAAAGGGATACCAAACTGATGTTACAAACACAAGGGGATACCAAACTGATGTTACACACACAAAGGGATACCAAACTGATGTTACACACACAAGGGGGATACCAAACTGATGTTACACACACAAGGGGGATACCAAACTGATGTTACACACACAAGGGGACACCAAACTGATGTTACACAAACAAGGGGATACCAAACTGATGTTACACACACAAAGGGATACCAAACTGATGTTACACACCCAAGGGGATACCAAACTGATGTTACACACACAAGGTGATACCAAACTGATGTTACACACACAAGGGGATAACAAACTGATGTTACACACACAAGGGGATACCAAGCTGATGTTACACACACAAGAGGATACTAAACTGATGTTACGCACACAAGAGGATACCAAACTGATGTTACACACGCAAGGGGATACCAAACTGATGTTACACACACAATAGGATACCAAACTATGTTACACACACAAGGGGATACCAAACTGATGATACACACACAAGGGGATACCAAACTGATGTTACACACAAGGGGATACCAAACTAATGTTACACACACAAGAGGATACCAAACTGATGTTACACACACAAGAGGATAACAAACTGATGTTACACACACAAGGGGATACCAAAGGATACCAAGCTGATGTTACACACACAAGGGGACACCAAACTGATGTTACACAAACAAGGGGATACCAAACTGATGTTACACACACAAAGGGATACCAAACTGATGTTACACACACAAGGGGACACCAAACTGATGTTACACAAACAAGGGGATACCAAACTGATGTTACACACACAAGAGTATACCAAACTGATGTTACACACACAAGGGGATAACAAACTGATGTTACACACACAAGGGGATACCAAAGGATACCAAGCTGATGTTACACACACAAGGGGACACCAAACTGGTGTTACACACACAAGGGGATACCAAACTGATGTGACACACACAAGGGGATACCAAACTGATGTTACAAACACAAGGGGATACCAAACTGATGTTACACACAAAAGGGGATACCAAGCTGATGTTACACACACAAGGGGACACCAAACTGATGTTACACACACAAGGGGATACCACACTGATGTTACACACACAAGGGGATACCAAACTAATGTTACACACACAAGAGGATACCAAACTGATGTTACACACGCAAGGGGATACCAAACTGATGTTACACACACAATAGGATACCAAACTGATGTTACACACACAAGGGGATACCAAACTGATGTTGACAGTTTCTCTCAATTCAGATTTAATTTTGATTTTAACATTGGTATTTTGTTTAATATGTCGACAAAAATAAACTGGTTTTGTTTCTACTGTGAAAATGGAAGCAATATCATACTACTCTGGTACTGACAGCAGGACTTACAGGGCAAGGGCAGGACTTACAGGGCAAGGGCAGGACTTACAGGGCAAGGGCAGGACTTACAGGGCAAGGGCAGGACTTTAAGGGCAGGACTTTAAGGGCAAGGGCAGGACTTTAAGGGAAGGACTTTAAGGGCATGACTTTAAGGGCAGGACTTTAAGGGCAGAGGACTTTAAGGGCAGGATTTTAAGGGCAGAGGATTTTAAGGGCAGAGGACTTTAAGGGCAGGACTTTAAGGGCAAGGGCAGGACTTTAAGGGAAGGACTTTAAGGGCATGACTTTAAGGGCAGGACTTTAAGGGCAGAGGACTTTAAGGGCAGGACTTTAAGGGCATGACTTTAAGGGCATGACTTTAAGGGCAGAGGACTTTAAGGGCAGGACTTTAAGGGCAGAGGACTTTAAGGGCAGAGGACTTTAAGGGCAGGACTTTAAGGGCAGAGGACTTTAAGGGCAGGACTTTAAGGGCAGCAAGACTTTTAGTCCCTGATGTAGCATCACCATATTCAGTACAAGCTGCAGGACTTTGAGGGAACGTAACTTAAAATCTTACTGATATCTTTGATCACTTTTATATCATAGATAACAGTAAGTCGACCTAGTATCTTATAAGGCAACATAAATGTAATATCCCTTAATATCTTAGATGACAACATAAGAATACACTTAATATATTAGAAGGTAATACCGGTGTATATAAGTGTAATGCACCTTAAAACCCTTTAACACAACATAATAGTAAGCTAACTTAGTATATCATCTTAAAAGGCAACTATGTATGTAATAAACCATAATATCTTATATGGCAACATAAGAGTTAGTGAACTTAATGTCTTAGAAGTCACCATAACTTACAGGATTAAACAGGAATGTCTGGAAGAGTTCCCCTCCTTGTATACTGTTATCCAGGTGATGTCTGCCACCAGGATACTTGTCCAGGAAGAGTGTATGTGTAAACAGCCCACAGGTTTGTCGAGGTAAAACCTGTAAGTAATGTTTTATAAAAGTGAACAGCCCACAGGTTTGTCGAGGTAAAACCTGTAAGTAAATGTTTTATAAAAGTGAACCACCCACAGGTTTGTCGAGGTAAAACCTGTGTTTTATAAAAGTAGATAAGTCTATCATACCAGAGATTAATTATGATGGAAACTTTGGCACTAACCATTATAATTCTAGTATGAAAACTAAGCTGTAAATGTCAAATGTGACTTTCATCACCAGTTATCTGAATAGTAGGAACACCAAGAGGTCCATGGGCCTGTATAGCTCACCTGGTATTGTGAGTACTGTACATAGAGGATCAGGTGTTGAAATTTTGCTTGGGCAAGTAAGCTAACAGCTAAAAATTCCTTCAGTTCTATGTCAAGTACTCTTTTAAAAGGATTTCCCCCTTTTTCTCTATTGGGCTCTACCCCTCTGTCCCTGGAAAGGGTATTTTATATTGAATTCCAGGTGTGAAGCGTTTCACATGAACTTAAAAGGTTCTGCTTTCATTTCACCAATGTAAAGCCACGCAAGACAACTTAAGAAGCTATCCAATCAAAGATAAAAGGATCGCTTTTTTGAGTTTCGGTACTCAAATTTTACAACAAAACCAAGAATAAGCTGTTTTACATCAATTTATTGGTGGGTTTTTTTATTGTTTATATACACTACATCTAATTTATATGAAATTTCATTTACTTCCAAATTTGGCAAAGGAGAAAATACATAAAAAACATGTTTGACTTTGAGACACCGATAACAAGTTTTTATGCTCTGCAGGAAAATATAGTCAACAGGAAACAGGAAACACAACTCTATTTTTATTTGGCCTTTCCATAAATATCACATCTTATTAATACACTGGTGTAAAAACAAAAGCTGATGAACCTGTATATACAGCGATATTCAGAACATGAAGGAAACCTAGCCAGACATACCATAATTCCTTTGTGTATGAAGCCCCTGCGCCTCCAGGCGGGGTAGAGTCGTGGGTACTCCTCTGTACTGGTTACCCGTATGTCCCACACGTTCTTCCAAGACTGGTAGAGTGGTTCATGGACAGGGTACACCCCCGAGTGATGGGGTGCAACAGCGTACTGCTGGTAGATGGGGATGTCATGATTCTGTAACAGATCAGTGTTATTGAAAATGGCATACCCCTTAAACAAATGATACAGGAATAACAATAACGTAGAAAATCCTGTTATGTATCTGAATAACATTCAATTCCACTATTACATATATACTATTGATACTTCTAATAATTACATCACTGATAATCCAAATATCTACCTATATCACTGATAATCCCAATATCTACCTACATCACTGATAATCCCAATATCTACCTACACCACTGATAATCCCAATATCTACCTACATCACTGATAATCCCAATATTTACCTACATCACTGATAATCCAAATATCTACCTATATCACTGATAATCCCAATATCTACCTGCATCACTGATAATCCCAATATTACCTACATCACTGATAATCCCAATATCTACCTTCATCATTGATAATCCCAATATTTACCTACATCACTGATAATCCCAATGTCTACCTACATCACCGATAATCCCAATATCTACCTACATCACTGATAATCGCAATATCTACCTACATCACTGATAATCCCAATATTACCTACATCACTGATAATCGCAATATCTACCTACATCACTGATAATCCCAATATTACCTACATCACTGATAATCGCAATATCTACCTACATCACTGATAATCCCAATATTACCTCCATCACTGATAATCCCAATATCTACCTGCATCACTGATAATCCAAATATTACCTACATCACTGATAATCCCAATATCTACCTATATCACTGATAATCCAAATATCTACCTACGTCACTGATAATCCCAATATCTACCTACATCACTGATAATCCCAATATCTACCTATATCACTGATAATCGAAATATCTACCTACATCACTGATAATCTAAATACCTAAATAATAACCCCAGTATCTATAAACATTACTTATAACTCAAATAACCGCCTACATCCTGATAATGCTTAAATCTACTGAATTATTGATGATCTCATTATCTCCCTTCAGTACTGATAATCTCAATACCAGAGTTGTTACTGTTGGGAAACTATGAAGCACTTCACTTTGGAATTGTATTCCCTACTTTCTCACAAAACCAATGTCAGGTTTTAAATTCATTCAAACATGCGTGAAATACTGAGAAATGTCAATTGACACTCTAACACTTATCCTTTGAAAAGCAGTACCATACATATGAAAAATATATATTTTTTGTTTGTGTAAAGGTAAAAGCTACAACAACGAACTTTTGAAAATGTATGTACCAGGGGTAATATATCATCAAAATCTACATGAATGAACAACGAACCTTGTAAGATTAAAATGAGTTATGAATGGTATGGCTTTACTTTATAGTGATTTGCATTAGGTAAGGCTTTATATTAAAGTGATTTATATATTTATTATATACTAATGGAGTTACTTTGTATAATAACACTTTATACCCCACATACTATGTTTAATAGATGTACCCAATGTTGAATTTATTAAAACACATATATACTGTACATTATGTGTTGTGGCTATCAGGGCAGGACATTTCAAAGAAAACCATGTTTACTGCAACTTGTACTTAAAAAATCGAAGTTACACATAAAAATGCAGATATAATGCAAATTCAGGTATTTCAAATATTTTGTGAACTATGCACAGAAGAGGGAGAGAGGATAAAGAGATAAAAACCATCTAGATTTACTGCAGGCCTGCAATGGTCCTGTTATATGTGTGAACATAAACGTAACCCTAGCACCCTAGTGGCTACAAATCTCCATACGTCAGCTGGCCAGCCTAGACTAAACCGTGTAGGATACAAGGACAAATGTACAGATACCAGTCTATACAGATATATACTTTTAACAATGTGACAAGGTTTATTACATTTTTATTGAATTCTGTAGCATGCTCTGGGGTTGCTATCTGTTACAAGGTTGAAGGATGACACACTTGTACCAGTCAAAACCCTTCCAATCCACTTTCTACTGGCAAAACGTAGAAGGCAAATTGATCCGACATTTTTGCGATTTTTTTCTAAAATTTTTACTGAAATTTTCCCTAGAAACATTTCAAAACATTGGATTTTTTTGAACTCTGATGTTGTAAAAGATTCCTTGCTTTATTAAATTTCCATTGATTTTCCTGTCAATGACAGTTTTTGTCTACTGCAACGGAATGGTAATATACCATCCTGGAATTAATTGTCATCCCAATCGACTACATCACAAATTTGTTTAATCGTTCTTCCTGGTGATTACAAATTCAAACCCATAAAACTTATTAAATTTGGAAGCTTCAAGAATACTTAATTAAAACAGATTTCGGGCTATACCGTGGATCTCTGTAATTCTGACAGTAAACTGACCTTCGCAAACTGGTAGTTAAGCAGCATAGACCGTTCAAGATGATCCTGTGTAAATTTGTGAGCCTGTTCATGTCTCCACATGTGACCAAACCACCAAAACTTGTGTCTGTGTTCTGTGAAAATAAACAAGCATTTTAAGGACCATAACATACTGTATACCAGGAAATATTTGTCACGATTAAAGTTTCGCCTTTTTCGCCCTCCATGTGCCAATGAGGGTGAATATGTGATGACAGCGAGTTTTAGCACACAACATTCAATAATAACGTGTGAAGGGTGAAATTAACACTAACAGGGTGAACATGGACTTGATCGCAAAAGGGTGAATATTGGACTGGGCGAAAGTTTTCCTGCCTACAGTAGTAGTACCACAGGCCATAATTCACAATAACATCTTGGATAGTAAAAAGTCATTGTGCTCCTGACCACAAAAGTTATCAATATATACATACCATATTTGGCCAAAATCTTTATCATTTTTAATGAGGAACAGAAAACAAATCATCATACAAGACTTTTGATGCCAACTTGGATTTTAAATCGACAAACACAATAATATCACTTGTCACAATAGAATGTGTCAATTTTATATTGAAATTCTAATAAAAAAACAAGATTGAACTATATGTATAAAGTTGACAAACAAGTGACAAGCCCTAGTCAAGCTCTCATTTGTTCTTTGCTCAAGCTTCATGAAAAATTCACATCCATTTTTAATGTGAAAGTAACTTAATTTCTACTTTAAGAGAACTAATGTAGGAATCAGAGTTTTTAATTCTTTAGGTAATGGTATCAGTTCCCTTCGCTACACATCAAACATTTCCCATTGGAGTGAAATCAAATTACTTCTTTAAAATACAATAAAAGAGAGAAAAGAAGAAAAAACACCTGCAAACAGAAAGCATTTTTTTTTTTATTCCATTTAATTTTCTTTATTTGATATCATTTTCTACCTTTTGCCAAATTTATTGGCAATTATCTCTGTATAATACAATATACTGTCTGGTGGGTATACCATACACAAGTACGTCATGAACAGTATCCCACTCAACAACAGCGTTTTTCTATTTCTTCTTTAATGCTACTTTCTTGTAAAGTTATTTAAACAGTAACACTAATCCACCGTTGTGGTGACTTGTTGAGTGTTGACACATCAAACTTTACCCCTATAGTGGTGTTGACACACGTCCACAGTGTCGACACCAGGTAACCAGTGTACAATGTACTTAAACATGGACTATTGATACAATACTACATGTTATACTAGCCTATCAAATACCAGCGTGATCTACTTAACAGCACCCAATAACCCAAATTGAACATTTCTAATTCATTATATCATCTATTTATTATCGTCAGAGTCTCATAAATTATCCAGTGCAAGCATTAAGCTACAGATAATTGAAATAACTATGTACCTGACAATCATTACCTGGTAAAAGAACGTTTTGGAATTTCAATGATGAGAGAATTCCTGTCAACCCACATAAATCTAGTATAACTTAAGATTTGTAATGGTGTTGGTGTTCCCTACACCAATATAAGTGTAGATTTGTAATGATGTTGGTGTTCCCTACACCAATATACAATGTAAGTGTAGATTTGTAATGGTGTGAGTGTCCTTACACCAATATAATATAAGTGTAGATTTGTAATGGTGTTGGTGTTCCCTACACCAATGTAAGTGTAGATTTGTAATGGTGTTGGTGTTCCCTACACCAATATAAGTGTAGATTTGTAATGGTGTTG